ACAATGGAACAATATGTTGAAGCTATTTTTAAAAGCTTTATTGTACTATTGCTGCTACATTGTTTTCACATTATACACAATTCCTCTTGGAACAAGATTCCAGAAAAGCTGAATTATCCTTGTTCAGTCTAAAAAGTTTTGCATTTAAGTTGCAAATAGCTTACCTATAAGGTTATTTGCAATCACTGCACCATATTAAGATCATATTTTGAATATATTTTAAAAAATCAATATATATTTTAGCTTATGAATTAGTCTATGATTGGCTCAGATATAACCAATCATAGAAATGGAATTTTTTATAATTATTATAAAGACAATACACAATTTGTCAGTGTCCCTCCTTTAATTTTCAAGCATGTTGAAAACATAATAACTTAATAAAACTCATTTTGGTGGCAGGAATTTTTTACTGTATTGGTACTTTCTATACTCTAGGAAGATGCCAAATATAATATGCCCTTTAAAAGTAGGAAAATATTATAGAAAAGAGATAAACAAAACAGATGATGACTTAGACAAAGGATGGTTTATGTATATATATATATATATATATATATATATATATATATATATATAATATATTAAACAAGATTGGGCTAGAATAAAGGTAAAGTGAAAGGGAGGGATATTATAACAGTCTAAATAACTATTGGAAATAGTAAAATAAATAATTAAAAGTTTCAGAAAGAGTCCTTTACTGAAGAATTTAATAAAAAAAATTTCACATCTTATGGATGAACAACATTCATATTTGTGCTTTAGATTATAATATTTAGTTATCAACGCTTTTTAAAAAGGCATTTGATGTAGCTCCACTTGTCTATTTTTTCCTTCGTTTCTCTTGCCTTAGGAGTTGTAGCATCGAAAATTCTGCTATGTGAGAATAAAAAGCTTTTGCACAGCCAAAGAAACCAGCATTAAAATGAAAAGAGAACCCACTGTATGGGAGAACATATTTGCCAATGATACATCTGATAAAGGGTTAATTTCCAAAATATATAAAGTACTCATACAACTCAACAACAGGAAGACAAACAACCCAAATAAAAATGGGCAGAGGATCTGAATAGACACTTCTCCAAAGAGAACATACAAATGACCAAGAGACATATGAAAAAATGCTTGAAGTCACTAATTATCAGAGAGATGCAAATTAAAACAACAATGAGATAACTCCTCATACCTTGGAGAATGGCTAACATCAGTAAATCAACAAACAAGTGCTGGCAAGGATGTAGAGAAAAGGGAACTCTAGTGTACTGCTGGTGGGAATGCGGACTGGTACAACCACTATGAAAAACAGTGTGGAGTTTCCTCAAAAGTTTAAAAATGTAACTGCCATCTGCCCAGTGATCTCACTTCTAGGAATATATCCTAAGAAGCCAGAAACACCAATCAGAAAGAATATATGCACCCCTATGTTCATAACTGCCATTTGCAATAGCTGAGATCTGGAAACAGCCCAAGTGCCCATCAGTAGATCAGTAGGAAAATTGTGGTACATTTACACAATGGAATACTATGCAGCTTTGTATTCTCCGATAAAGTTGACTTTTCTAACTGACTTTTATATTTTTATCCTCATAGTCACAAGTTTTATAAGGATAGGGACAACAACACTCAACCTCCACCATAAAAGAGCCCACCACATTTATTTAGATGCCAAAAAAAGTACATATAGGTGCAGTGGAGAATTCTTCAAGATAGAAGGTAATTCATGGAAAAACTATCTTCTTTGACCTTCATACAAAACATGTCCAATGATGGACTTCACTTCAAGAGTCAAGTGGATAAAATCATCCATTTACTGTTTACCACTGAATGAACATACCTGGTAATGTATGTTGGGATGGGAGGTGGCATGGAGGGGAGATGGACTTCTAGAAAAACTAGAGTTAAAATTTGCTCAATTGTGGCACAAACACACACACAAACGTTTTTGAATGTACATAGGTACAACACTTGCTTTAGCACAATTATAAGGTAGCAGGCACAAGCACAAGCACAATTCATTATCTTCCCAGTCTTCTCAAGCGCCATTTTGATGTTCTAATAGTTCCTTATAAGCAGAGAACAGAAGTGTCTACATCAGCAAAATTTTTAGTTTCCTGACCATTGGCTTTGGTCATTACACATGTCTATGCCTAGATCTGCATAGACATGTGTAATGACCAGATCTGCATTCATACTTCACAGTGCTTAGCTAGAGTGCCTAGTGTCTGGCACAACAAAGAAACACAAGAAATATTTGTTGAATTAATAAAAGGAGCAAGAAAAGAAGGGGGATATATATATATATATATATATATATATATATCCCCTTCTTTTCATATATATATATATATATATATATATATATATAGAGAGAGAGAGAGAGAGAGAGAGAGAGAGAGAGAGAGAGAGAGAGAGAGAAAGAGAGAGAGAGAGGGAGAGATGGGTTAATTTTAATGAGGATAAAGAAGTTTTCCATGTTGGTGGGCACCACATGATTCATTCCCATTAGCTTAGGAATCTTCCATAGGAATTGGGTGGGGGCACACAGACTTCCCTTGAATGTGACGAAACAGGACGTTTAGCAGAAGGACCTTCAGCATTGATTCTGAAAGGAATAGCTCACCTTTATTTAAGCAAAGGCCTTCATCCACTGGTTTTCCCTCCTTGTTGACATCTCTTTTCATCCAGCTATGGAGGTATTTCCTGCCCTTTCTGACTGCTGCCTTGGGGCCTTGTTTCTTCAGAAAGAGGGAGGTATTTTCCACCCCAAGGAACATCTCCTCATAGCAGGTCCACCGGGGGGCCTGGGAGCAGGGGACAAAGACAGCCGCGCGGATCGGGCCCCCAGAGGAGACGCCCAGGCACAGCGCGGACTGCACGTGCTGGAGCTTCGCGTCCTCAGTCCACCGCCACTGCTGGCTCCGCTCTGCCCCATCGCACGGGCCCATGGACACGACCTTGTTTTCGAAAAGGCACTGCTGTTTCTGGACGTGGACGATCTGAAATCCCTCTGGAAGATGGAAAAGCTCATCTCGCACCATGTAGCAAGTAGATGACAAGGCCCATGCGAAAACAAAGCTGCCCGCCCACACGCCAGCCCAGGGAAAACAGAAGGCTTACTTATTATCTTTTGCTATTGCACTGATTTCAAGGGACCATTCCCAGATTCAACACATGGAACGTAAAACCCCAAGGCTGACAATGTCACAAGGTCACCGTTGGCCCCCTTTCTTTTACTTTCACATGAGTTAGGGGGAAAACCTTCCTCTCCCCTCACACCCCCTGTGAAACACCGACAGGAAGCTCAGAAAAGAAAACCATCCAAAGAGCATGGCTTGAGGTTTTATTCCAATTAAATGTGCTGAAATTGTGAAAAGCTCAGTTCCCTTTCAGAATTTTATTCTTTCCACACCACTTCGACCCCCAACTTTAAAGGGCACCCTTTTTTGCAACCCTGAACTTATTATTGCAATAAATATGTGTACATAAATTACATAGTTTAAATAAAAACTTTAAAATTGGATGCATTTACCCTAGAATGAAAGAAGCCTTCACACCCTTCTGAGCACACCTTCCTAGCTAACAATAACCAATGAAAGAACTGATGGCCACAAACTAAATTTCATGTAGTCTTAGAATTATTTTTCTATTTTGTAACAGTATCTGTAATTTTCCCCTTTAATATTAACAGATAAAACTGCCAGCGTTTCTTAATAGGAGAAAATTAAATACCCAGTTGTTAAACATCAGTATTAGAAAGTGAGATATTTGGGCTCAGAAACCATTTTTAATGTGCCCAGCGCTCCCATGAAAATATTCAGACCTTCCTGCCAAATAGCAACTTCCAAATTAAACACACCACAGTTCACCCCCTTTAATTATACTGCTTACATTTTCTTTCTTTAACACACACACACACACACACACGACACACACACCACAAAATCATAACCTAATTGGACAAAAGTGTGGAGAATGGCCCAGGCTGAGATATAACAAAAGTATTTCCTCAGGACCCCTTTCTTTCTGCCGTGAAGGTGCCATTTCAGAAGCTGCCTGAGGCAGGAGGCCTTTTATTTTTGTTTGGAGAGAAATTTCAGCAGTGTGGGCAGACCCTGCTCCTTCTACCTCCCCTCCTCATCATCTTCGGCCAAACTGCCATGGAGACCTGGCTCCATTTCCGCCCCATTTCAGGCACTTTTCAAAGGACAGAATCCCGCCTGCCAGCTCCCAGAGAGCCTTGTCAGGACCCTGAGGCAGGCCCACTCACCTGAGTTGCCGAAGATCAAGCAGGCCAGCACCGCCATGTAAAATTCAGCCTCCATTTTCCACTAAACAACTGCTCATGCTTCGCTTTGGGGGAAAAAAATTCTCCCAGATAAGAGAAGCAAAGACCAGGGAAGGAAATGTGCCTTCGTGGGGGGGGGGAAAGTCAGTGACGAGCACTTCCTCCTATTGAATGTTTAGGGGAAGTTTTACACCAGTGTCCTCTTGTCTGTTTCCTTAGAAAGAAGGGATTATGATTACCTCTCTTTTTTTTATGTGGAAAAAAAATCCCAGCCTCCAGGAGTGGAATAATACTCCCAAGTTTTCATCCCTGTGGCACTTCTTAACCTCAAGAGGGAAGAAAGGAATTGTGATCTCAGGTAATTAAATGCTCCTCTGACATGACATCTCTCCAGGTGATGGGTTTCTGCTGAATCAACACGCGCCACGTGATTGCTGAGGGTCTAGGTAGGACAAGTGCTAGAAAGACATACACACCTGCTGCTCCTGTAATGAAGTGCCGGGAGTCCATCAAGGAAAACCACATAATGATGGCACTTCAAGGTCATTATCTCTCAGGTGATGACAATGGGTATTACACTGGAGGTAGTCATCTCCCCTGGGGAGAGGCGGAGACTAAAATTAAACCCTTCACACCACACCGTACACGACAGGCTCCCCCCAAAAGATAACAGCCGCTCTCCAAAGAGGGAAATAAGTACCCGCTCAACTCAACATTTAGTATTAAGAGTCGTTTATTGGCAGTATGAAACGAAGTCAACATAGCTGCATTAGAAATTCATAGTTGAGCAGAACATCTATTGTTTGCTGAGTGTAGTTTTTGTGTTGTTGTTGTTGTTGTTGTTAGCTTTATTTGTGAGGATCAAAACCTTTCTGAAATGTAAGGATATCCGTGGCAGCAGCCTGTGGAAGAACCTCTGGAAAAGTGACAGGTGATCATGCCCAAAGCAATTGCCTTTTATTGGGCAAGACACTCCAGGCAGAGAGCATACTCAAAAACTCCTAATAAAAGAGACAAGTATCTAAAGTTCTTGATGCGTCAGAGTGGCTACAAATCTGTGTTTCCTTTTTACAGTAAAGTGACTCACAATGTACAAATACAGTGAATAGAGTTCTGCAGCAGCAGCCACCTCAATGCCCAATAAAGAGAATAAATACATAGATACCCAATGACAGTCATTGTGCTCTGTAATTGATTGATAGGAGGTACTGATAAATACACATTTAGTAGGTAATATTATCAAGACACATTTCCATATAAAATAGTTACTGCCTTTGATTTTTTTTTTTTCTTTTCAAAAGCAAAGACTCATTTGTTAAAAAACCTTTATCAATCCCTTGCAACTTTAGCGGCAAGATTCTGGTAACTGAGAAAGATAATAGCACTTAAAAAGGAACAGTTTAACAGCTGACAGTCCATTCGCAAGACAGATTTTGCAAACATTAAAGCATCTAAACACACAATAGTAATTTCTTCAGCAGCTCTTCCAGTCATCATCTGATGACATGTATCAGTGGGTGTTTCATACATACATTCCATGTGGCAGATAATCAATACAGACACAACAAAAGCCTTCTTAGCTGTGGGCGAAGTCTATCATCCCTCCATCAGTACAGGACCTTCAGAATAACTTAGGAGCTGCTTACAAACGCATTCACACACACAAGGGGCCGGCAACCTTTCCCGTGTTGCCATCTTCCACGTCCATGCCAGAGCTTGACTTCAGGGCTTCTCTTTCCTCTCCTCGCAGGAAGCTTCTTCTAGAAGCGTCAAGTGGGCAATTGATTAGTCACCCCTAGAGATTGATGGCCTGGTAAATCTTCAGAGAATCACTGGACTGTTTCTGCAGAAAGTCTGCTAGCGTACAGGCACAGAGCATGATGCACAAATTCATACTGCTCACTGGTTTGGACCATCCCGCCTCTGCGAGGAAAAGATAAGACAGTAACTTCTTACTGCTGATATCCTGCAATTGCAAGTAACAGAAACTGCATCCAAGCTAAGGTATTATCCCTCTTACCTGTGTCCAAATGACCCAACTGGTGAACTTAATAATATGCTAATGCACAAAGGGATTAACACAGTGCCTGGTACACTCTAGATTAGGGGTGTCGAACTCAATCAGAGAAGGGGCCAAAATCTAAAATCCAGCCTAAATCGCGGGCCGAATGGTTTACTGAACAGTCATAAACTGTCATTGTGATGGAAACCAGCAGAGTGCAGTGATGACAGCGTGGTGCAGGCCACATTGCAAGGCCTGGCGGGACGGATTTGGCCCGCGGGCCTTGTGTTTGACACATGTGCTCTAGATACTTGGTAAATTTCACCTACCCACCATTACTGGGCAGACAGTGCATCCTTTTGGTTAAGTACTTGGACTTGGAAACCAGCCAGGCCGTCTGAGTTTGAATCTCCTCTGCCAATTCTTAGTTGTGGGATCATGGGCAAGTTTCTTAAAACCTGTTGTGCCTTGGTTTCCTTCTCTTGAAAGTGGGAAAACTATAACACCTATTTCATAGGGTTCTTGTGAAGGTTAAATTATTTCATTGAATGAATTAAATGAATATCTGGAATGTTAGTATTACTTCTCAGGTGTTTTGTCACTCACCTCATGTTAAAATGGTTCATACACTTGGATTAAAATTGATGAAAGTTGGTTTACTAAACAAAACTCAACTATGAAATGTTGCTTCTTGTACATCTACAAAGAACAACTACCTTGAAATGGTCTGAGTGTGTAATGTGGAAACAACCTCAGCCTCTGCGTGGAGCATACTGATGTCTAAATACAATAGTGGGTGGGCCTTTAACTGAGTTGGAAAAAGGGATTGGTTCTGCTTTTTCCACTCTGTTTTCAACATTATCATTGCTGGTCACTCAGCACACCTATTGTTATTGGATTAGTAGAAGGTAGCAGCCTTTGTGAAAAATAATGATGTTTCTTGTTATACTCTTATATATAAAAGAACTATCTTATATTTTCCTCTCTATAATAATGAAAGGTTCTTATTCTTGGCAGAGCTGCCAGATAGTAATATAAAATCCTACTTATTTTTCCTGCTTGCTGAATAACTGCATCACAGTTAGTAACTATTTTCAGTCCTATAATGTCTCCCTAACTCTGAAATCATACAACAAATTTTGAAATTATGTTTTAGCTGTTGTTATTATTCTAAATAATTATTTTTACACTAGAAGCTTGGTGCATGAAATTTGTTCACTCCAGGGGCGGTGGGGGAGGTATGAGGGGTGGGTCCCTCAGCCCAATCTGTGCCCTCTCACAGTCCAGGAGCCCTTGGGGGATGTCTGACTGATGTTGGACATCTGCCACAGAGGCTGAGAGGTTCCTGCCACCACCTCTGCACTTGCCAGCCGTGATTCCAGCTCAGGGCTTCTGGCTGAGCAGTGCTCCCCCTGTGGGAATGCATGACCACCAGGGGACAGCTCCTGCATTGAGCATTGGCCTTTGGGTGGTCAGTGCACATCGTAGCGATGGGTTGTTCCGCTGTTCAGTCTATTTGCATATTAGCCTTTTATTATATAGGATCATATAAGCACTTCAACTTAAAAACAAGGTATGTTGCCTCACTGTAACATGTATTTTGGTTATGGTAATAACTAAAATTGGGCTTGTATCTATGTTTACTTGTCAACCTCTATAAGCATACAAGAAATTCAGATAGTAAGATTCACCCTTCTTAACTAAACAGATCTACATAATGCCAAAATGATATAATTGGTAAGAGATAAAGAGGTAAATACGCAGTTTCTGGCGATATCCACTTTTGGCAGAAGTATTTCATCAGTCTTTCCCCCTAGAACGGTACATTATGTTGTACTGAAGGCAACTTTCTGGCCAAGTATTCCTTGGTCATAAGTTGGCAACAGAAATGGGCAGCTGAGGCTGTGGTAAATCTTCTTCTTAGCCGGATGGTGACCTCAGGGCACACCTAGAACACAGCAGGTGTCTGGAAGATGCTGGCCTTGACTGGGAAGCTCCAGTGATACAGCCACAGTAAATTTTAGGGCAGCTGCAAGGACTGAGAGGTGCCTGCCTCCCTCCCTCCAGCATTTGTACAGCTCAGGGCATCATTAGTCCTCCCCATTGAACTGCAGATGTATGGAGCCTTGAATGTGTTAATGGATCTCATGGGCTCTGATCTTAGGAATTTCCTCTCTCTATTCATCTCAACTGAGGCAAGCTTTCCTCCTTCCTGTCTGTTCTGATGACCACTGGTATTTACATGTCCATCTAGTGATTGAAAGTGACATAGTCTAGGTTTTCATAACTATTCCAAATGGGTCAGCAGTGTATTTTAACATTAGGAGAGTATTTTCTATGATGTTCCATTAACTGAGTCAAGGTTGTCTCAGCCAGTGAAGGTGGGGAAGATGAGGAAGTGAACTTATTAGTAGCAGGCTAGGAAAATCCTTGGGTGTCTGAAGGCTTAAGAAAGGTACATAGAAAGTTATGTTACTTCCCACTTAACTTGAAAAAATAAAAATGGAAGAATTAACATCAAAGAGATCCTCAGAAATCACTCATGTCAATCGCCCACACAAGCTAGCCTGGCAGAGGGAGCAGTCTCCGTGGCAGATGGTCAGTCGGTTTCTGCTGGAATCCTTGTGGGAATCAAAGTTGGCAGGAAAACTTGAAGACATCAAAATGAATCCACCCTTCTCTAACTGTCACCTCAATGGATGAACCAAAATAACCCAAAAAAGGCTTAAGGCTCCTCCTGTCGTCACACAATAGCTCCCTAAAAGCGAGAAAACAACCATCAAAGTCTCATACTCCTTTCGTCTCTAGACTAAACATCCTGTGGTCATTCAATATTTCCATCCAGCCTGGTTTCCCTGTCACTCACCAGTCTAGTCTCCCTCTTCTACAGGCTATTTTATCAACTATGACCTTCTTAGAGTGTTGTGGCTGCTCCCAATGAGATCAAGTCAGTGGGAAATTTTTCTCCCTTGAGTTGCACATTACTGGCCAATTAACTTGCATTTGCAGGTGTACCTGGTGGTCAGATCCCACAGAGTCCACCTGGTGGCCGGGACTTAGCAAGCATTTTAGAATACTTAGTGGAGCTTTAGGTTAATGGAGACGTGTGCAGGTGTTTTGTTTGTTTGTTTGTTTGTTTGTTTTAATATGAAAATTACAGCTCTCTCCTACCCTGAACCTACATTACTGAATTTTTAAAACTAAATGCAGGACTTTCTATTTATTCCTATTAAGTTCAACATGTTGGTGTTAGCATAGTGTTCTCATTTACTGACATCATTACTATTCATCAATTTATTAGGCTTCCATTTACCATTCCCAGCTTTGTGTCTTCCAGATATTTAACATGTTCATTTACCATTTATAAAGAAGTAAGGTCACCCAAGTTACATAGGCCATGCCATTTTCATGTCACATAACAAGAGATAAACTCCAGGCTGAAAGAGGGCAAAAAGCTTCCCATCATACATTCACTGGAAACTGATTCAAGTTCAGGAACTCATCACTATCATCTTTGAAAAATTGTAATAACTGGCTAATTGAATATATCGGTATACAGAACACTCTGTGGACCTTTGTAAGAACTTAAAATCTGAGATTATCTGGAGGACATTACTCATTATGAGGTAAATACAGTCTTTTTATAGGGTGACATTAGTAAAAAATATACCCAAGAACCTAATATAATGCCTGTATACAAAATGTATTATGGAATAAATATATAGTGTTAGATTAATTATGAAACTCTCTGAGAGCCCTGAAATAATTCATTTTCCAGGAAGGTTCTGACTTGGGCCACAGGTGTCTTTCAGAGCAGACAAGGCTCCATGGACTTGCTGAAGTCTGGATCTTTATTACTGGTATAAAATTCCTAATGCAAGCTGGTCCTCAAAGGTAAGAAGCAAGAATGCTCTTGTGTGTGTGTGTGTGTGTGTGTGTGTGTGTGTGTGTGTTTAATTAACTTTAAAAGGCATCTTTTAACTCCCTTTTAAAGATCAGGCATTAAAATAATCCTTGTCCAAACCGGTTTGGCTCAGTGGGTAGAGTGTCAGCCTGCAGACTGAAGGGTCCCAGGTTCGATTCAAGTCAAGGGCATGTATCTTGGTTGCGGGCACATCCCCAGTAGGGAGTGTGCAGGAGGCAGCTGATCGATGTTTCTTTCTCATTGATGTTTCTAATTATCTATTCTTCTCCCTTCATCTCTGTAAAAAATCAATAAAATATATTAAAAAATAATCCTTGACCTCCAATAGATCATGGTTTAAACTCAACCAAAGTTAACATATATCCATGTTGATCAAGATGATGCTTCAGTGAAGAAGACTTATGGGGCCCCAAATAGCTGGACCATCATCATTCGGGCAGTGCCTGATGTCACCACCATTAGTCAGTACATTGTGGGTAAGGACCATTCCTCTTTGGAGATTCCTCTTGAAACACAAATCTGTTTCCCCAGAAGGTAAAACACATTAAGCTACAATACCTACTGCCCAGCAGGAGTTAGTTTATCAAAAAAGGGTAAGGTCATGTAAAAACAGGGGGAAAGGACCCAATTCACTATGAGCATGGAGCATGGTTGTGAGTTTGGAAAGGTCTGGGTTTGGGATGCTAAGGTGTCAGGTTCATTACCAGAAGGGTACATTAAGAGGAAAAAGACACCACCACACACTGTGGTTAAGACAAATCCTGTCTCCATCACTTATGGGCTGCCTTACCCTATGTAATCTTTGCAATTTTCTCATCTTCAAAATGTGAGATAATAAAACAATAGTGCCTACCTCATGGCACTGCTGTGAGACATAAATGGGAGAATCCACTTAACATGCTTAGCACACACAGCTGAGTACATGAAGATACCCTATTGCTAGCTGTTTTCACTGTTACTCTTTGATGCTATCTGGTCAAACAGAACTGACTGCAAGGCCCTGGGATGAGGCCTCTGATGGCCTTGGAGAGCGAAGAACACGCCTGGCAGAGGACACAATGCCATCTAAGTCAGGCAAGCCTAGGTGGAAAGAGCCAAACATGTGTCTAAATTTTAACCATGATGCCTGCTGTGGTGGAGATAGTGGGTGATATTGTGGAAAGAAGTGGGTTTAGAGTCTGAGAGATTCAAGTGTGAATCCTTGCCTTTGAACCTATTAGCTCTACGATGTTGGATACATCATTTACTCCTTCCCGGTTGGGGTTTCTTCACTTATAAGGTGACATTAATGATAAAGCTCATCAGACTGTTAGGATTCAATGAGTCAGAGCATTTCGATGTCTAGCTGCAGGCTATCCCAGAAATCCCAGGAACCCAGGGCTCTGCATCGGTGCCTGAGGGGCCGAGGCCTGTGGAGGAGGAGGAGGTTGGCTGTTTAGGACTAGCTCCCAATGCCAGCTGTGACAGGGCATTCTGCTTTTTATTGGCTCTCCATTAGTGGTGTCTTGTGGAAGGTTGTGCCTTCCCATTGTTTTGTTCCCCATTGTTCCCAAAAATAGTTTGAAAACTACTGACCTGGCAAACCGTAATTATTTGCCTAGTAAGGGTTCAAGTTTGGCAAGGTGTAAAGGCGGTACTCCATAAAATGCTGAGCGCTGTGGTTGTCGTTCAGCGAGTATTAAATCAGTGCTGCGTTTTCTTTTTCTTATCCTTTTGGTAAACGCTTAGCTCACCCTGTGTGTGCCCAGGGAAATCACACATCTGGTTTGTCTGGCACCGTTCTGGCTCACTCCTGCTCTCCTGTGTAATCATTAATAGGGACACCTTTCCTTCTCAGGAGTGGCTTGGTGTGGATGATAAATTATTTGTTCGCCCTAATTATGCCCCATTCCACACGAAAGAAAGTCATTCCATGTACTGCAAACGTTGTGCGGCTACAGAATAAAAATGGCTCCGTGGCCACAGAATAAGAACGCTGTCTGGCCAGGCCAGGGAGGACCCAGGCCCACTGCCCCTCCAGAAACGGCAGCTATCTCACACCACGCTCACCTCGACAACCCTGAACATCAGCATCGTCTCAGTCTGCATGCGGGGAGGCACGTAGCTGTGTCAGCTGGGGGTAAGCTCAGGTTAGAAGGGGGAAAATGCGTAGCTTTTCCCCTTTGCTCCTAGGAGAGTGCTTTGGGGAAAAACACAGACGCACGCACACACGCCAAAGAAAAACCAACACCCCTCCAGATGCTCAGGAGAGAGATTTGGTTTTTAACATGTTAAAACTGTGACCTTTTGTGACTATTAACTCACACATACAGAGAGCAGCAGCCTTTCCTGCTGCACCACCCAGCAGCATCCGGTCTAATCAGTAGACAGAAGAAATTCTGCAGTGGTGACTCACTTCTGGGCTAACAATGGGACTTAACGCTCCTTGGCTTTTTTATTATTTTCAAATCTGGAATTCCTTTGGTAAAGTTTGGTACAGTAAATTTAGAACAAAAAGTGTGGATGTTAATGTGCCTCTTGGGTAAAATCTCTGCTGGCTTGGGCAGGAGTCAAGCGAGGCGAATGTCGGCTGCTGTAACTCGGGGTACCTCAGACCAAGGTTTTCCCAAGTCTTCATGCAGATGGCGTGGCAAGGAGGGAGAACTTACACATACATGGTTTGACTGATTCTGACCTAGAACTTTGAACATAAACACTTTCTCTGGGATGGCTGTGGTCCAAAGTATTTGTAGGGCATAAAAGCCAACACACATCAGGTGACAATTCAATGGGAATTTAATGCGCTAGTGTGTCTTGAGTTCCATTTTCATCCCCTGAAAATTAGCCAATTTTCTTCTGAACACCCAGGTTAACAGTCAAGTAACTCCTAGTGAGAAGAAGGGGAAGGTTGTCTTGGCAACCACTTGAGAGAGCTGGTTGGCATAATCCATTTTCCCAGAGGACTTTCTCAGAGGTATGGTCTCAGGAACTGTGAAGTCAAGTAAATCTATACCTACCTCTAGGGCTTTAATTGTCCTTAAAAATAAGAAAACCAAAATGGTTAATTCCTGTTCTTCAAGTGAGAGCTTCAAAATTCATAAATTAAAGGATCTCTGTGATTAGCTGAGAATGCAGAGGGCTATGGATAAATGTAAATCTAGGGTTGAAAAAAGTATACCAACAGGGGGAAATTTGTGCTTTAAAATGATTTTAAACAAGTTTTGGAAACAGAATATTTTTGGGACACATCAGTGTAGGAAGCTGATGGCACATATATTCCTCCCCTTAGATAACTGTAGTTAAAAAAAGACAAAAACCACCAAACTACAGTCATTAATCAAAACATGTAAACAATGATATGACGCACACTGGAAGCATTTTTCTATCCTGTCTGGGAAGCTACAAGTAAGGTCTCTGGATGTCATTCCAACTTCGGGCCTCCAAGGTAAGGATGTACAAAGACAACTGCAGCTCTCGCCACCGACTCTTAAATGGGAGGGTAAGACAGACCATTTCCTCTTTCGCTGAGGGTGGGGGACAGAAAAGAAAAAGGCCTTGGTATCTCGTATTATTTTCTGTGTCTCATTTCCAAAATTCTCTTTTCAAGTTCTTCCAGTGTCTAGAGGTGCCAACTAAAACGAAAAGAAATAGGATGACAAAAAAAGCTGCAGACACCAACCTGCAATGAAATATGGTCCTTCCTTTTCTGCCTCCTGATGGTCATGCTCTTTAGCCATTCTCCTATAACATTAATGTGCATAGGAGCTTTTTCTGAGTTTCCTAGGCCATCTTATTACTATCGATCATTACTATTACTTTTTAAAGGGACAGGTGCATCTCTCCTGCTCAATGTGTAATTGACCTTTGTCACTTCTGTGAAATGCTGGCATTCACAAGCCTAAATGAATCTCTTGTCGTAGGAGCTAGACACTGTGGAAACAACTGGAATTCTTAATTAGATGCTACAGTCAACTAATTTAGTACTATTTAAGATGAGAAGAAACAACTAATTTATACTATTTAAGATGAGAAGATTTAAGCAGGATATGGAAAGGCTTTCTAAGTCATAAACCATCCTTACAATGTATTATCCAACTTAGTACTAATGCATTGGGTCATTTCTATTTACCATAATTTTTGAAAATTGTTGACTTATATATGAATGGCAACAGGAAAACACGATTGAGCAAACTATCCCTTTTTACAGAAAAAAGAAAGTCATCACACTTATTTTCAGATTTTAATAGTAAGTAAACTTAAACCATCTGAAATAAATAATTTTCCTGGTTTGTATAGCAACTGCAGACCCGGTACACAACACGTATCCACTGGGAGTGGGGGTGGGGAGAGGGGATTGTCCCTCAGCCCATCCTGTGCCCTCTCAAAGTCTGGGACACCTCAGGGGATGTCCACCTGCCAGCTTAAGCCTGCTAATGCTCTGACTCAGAGGTTGAAGAAGATCCCACCACCACCACTGCCCTCACCAGCTGCAAGCGCAGCTTCTGCCTGAGTGCACGCCCCCTGTGGGAACACACTGACCACCAGGGAGCAGCTCCTGCGTTGAGGATCTTGCCCCCTGGTGGTCAGTGCACGTCATAGTGACCAGTCATTCTGCCATTCGGTCAAGTTGCATATTAGGGTTTTATTATATAGGATTAGTTTAGGGTTACTGTCAAAAGCAGGATTAAAATATGAACTTCCTCTCTCTCTTAAACTTGTGCTTAACCCATTTAGGTTTTCCACCCTAGAAAACAATAGGCTTTTGGGAACAACAACAACAACAACAACAAAAAACAAACAAACAAAATTTAACCAATTTCATTTGAGCAAAATTGGAAGTTCAATTCAGATTGTTAAAAAAAAGTTAAAATTTGTTATATGATTTTAGATATATTATTCATTATTTTTAGGTCTTGGATTCCTCTTAAGAAGATTTGTACAATGTTCTTAAGGCCAGATTTATTTTTTTTTATTTTTATTTTTTACCATCTCTTTCCTAGTAGATGTTTGGCAAGTGTTATGATAGTCTGTTATTGCAATTCCATTGTTCTCTACAAAAACAAAGGTTCATAGACTCAAAGAATGCAATCGTTGAGAGAAATTTTTAGGGAGCTGGCCAATCACTTCCCCATCACTGAATCCCAGGCTAGAAAAGGCATCTGATTGGAGGGGTCTCTGAATCCACTGGTACTCTCAGCATCCATCAGTTGGCCAAATAAACATGCATACATATGCATCTGTAATCACTGTGAGTCTTAGAATGAAGATTAATTTATAAGCATTATGTATTTCAAAAATTCAACTGTCAGGTTCAAGTGCAGGAAACATTTTAATTTTATAAAAGGGTTCCTCATACCAGAAGACTAAGGGACCACTGATATATCCCACTTTTCTTTTTACAAATAGGACCTAGAGGCCTAGAATGGACAAGTGGTCACACAGGAAATTCAGGCCAGAACCAGGATCAGCACCGGGCTCCTGGACATCTGGTCTACCTCATGCTGTAGTGGCTGCCGGCTAGCAGTCCTCAGTCCCACTATCAGTGCTCAGTCCAAAATGACTGTTGCCCATGTCACTGCTTAATGAACAAACATTATGAAAATTAATGGAATAATCCAGAATACTTCTAAATAAAACCCTGTGGGTGCCTTGCCCTGAGTTTGACCTTCTACTTGGGAAAAAAAGAGATCCTATTTTAGTCCAAATATGCTCAAAAGTATTATTAAAAGGAGAATCACAGACTCATGAATTTGCAGTGCGAACTGTAGCATCTATTAATAGGAGTTGCCTTAAAGCCAATAAAAATAATGTCGTGCCAGAGAATGAGGAATCCACCAAATGGCTTTGTCATTGTTGTTACACTGGAAGTATCCATTTAGCACAGACTCATCTCTAAACTAGACCATTTGAATTCTAAAATGCGGATTTATGATCTGGATACAAATGGCCTGTTTTTGTCATATTGGATCACAACCATCAGGCACTGTCATTTTTTATTTTATTTTGTGGCAGGGGTTGGGGGTAGGGTGGCGCGTCAGGATTTTGATTCTTCTGAATGCTCAAACTCTTGACTTAGTCATGAAACAAGCCCCATGTCAAGTATATAATATAAGTAACTGCCTCATCCTTTTCTCTGTTAGCCATGTCCCGGGCTTCTAAGCAGAGGCAGCTATACGTGGTGGGGGCAGATTGTAAAAAACACGGGGCATCATGCAGCCTGGACCTCTTGGATCAGAGGTCATTGTTAGAGAGGGTCTGAGAGGATGGGAAAAGGCGTGTACATGGCAGAATAAGAAGCATCAGCTCTCTGTCATGTGTCTGAATAAGCTCTGTCATTTGTCTCCCTGTTGCATTCTGCTGGATGCTTCCAATCAGCCAGCCCCACCCTTTCCTTTCCCCATTTGGATGGTCCCACCCAGGCTCACATCCCTATGCCATCTCCAGTCTTCTCAGCACCACTGGGCTTCCGAAAGGACAGTTTACTATTTTACAACTTCTTTCTCTCCATTTAGGAGGTCTTTGAGGAAAGGGGGTACATGTGGAAGAATGCTTAAAGGAAGTTCCATGGGTTTCCAGGTTGGGGGACTTTTCAGACCCTTTAATGCATCAATACTTTTTATAAATCTCCAAGAGGAGAGGGTTCTAAGAAATATAATATACAGCTTTTTCTCTAACTTAATTGAGAATCCCTCCCCCCACCCGCCCCCGCCCCGAATACAGTCTAAGAGCATTTGGCACTTAGCATGCTCTCCTAGTTTAATTGATAATCAAACTGTGGCTCTGAGAAACACAGTCTGGGAAAGTCTGTTAAGGAATCTATCTTCCTACACCCGGTGCCCCATGCACACTCAGTAGGAGGTGCTCAGTAAATGAACAAACGCATGAAGCAGGAGCAGCACGCAGAGCAAAGTCCTGCAGAACAGACACCAGACAAGGGATTCAGGCCCATCCACAAACACCCGTCCTACCAACACCCCGAGGTGGGCCTGGCTTCCTGGGCCTGAGAGCTGTGCCATCCCATAAGCTCCACCCCCTGTGCTGGGAAGGACCCTGCGGGCAGGGTAATGCTCTGCTGTCACCGTCTAGAAATAGTTAATACTTTATGGTCCTGGGTCTCCCTAATGAGGTAGCTGCCCTTTGCAATGTGTCCCTTGCTAGAGCTCGTCTGCTCCCTTCCTGGGCCCCTCCGGCCCCCAGTGACCAGGCATTGTCTGCAGGCTCCTCGACGGGATCACCCAGCTTCTGAAGCCTTCTCTTCAATTCCCCTTCATGGAAACCCATGTTCTGAATGTACTGACGATGCAGGCAGCTATACTCTCTCTAGCTGCCGTGCTGGAAAGAATAGATTATTTTGTTTACATGAAAGTGTCAATAGCTGAGATGGTATAAAGGGTCACCCTCAACTCCCATCTCTAGGTTAAATGGACTTTAAAGAGCAAGGGTTCTCTTAGCCAAGGACTGGCTCTCTAATTAGCAGGAATATAGATGTTGACCTTACACAGATATTTTTGGCATCCTCCCTATGTAGATATTTTGAGATGAGGCAACTTTCCTATATCCCTCAATTATACTCTTAAGACGAAAGATTTATATGTTCAGAAGAGAAACCAGAGTATTAAGCACAAATTGGTAGTTACAAAATAGTCACGGGGTTGTAAATTACAACATAAGGAATATAGTCAATGATATTGAAATAATGATGCATGATGTCAGGTGGGTACTAGACTTACTGGAGGATCACTTTGTAAGTTACACAAATGACTAACCACTATGATGTACACCTGAAATTAATATACGATTGAGCATCAACTATATTCAAAAATAAATAAATAAATAAATAAATAAATAAATAAATAAATAAATAAATATTGGAAGCAGGGAAAGAAAGAAGACATATGGATGGCCATATGAAAAGATGCTCAATAAAAAAAAATTATACTCTTACAGCAACTGCTGATATCATCACTCTATTTGTGAAACAGCTCTCATTGATATTAATCATTGTTTTAAAAATTATGGTGTCATTGCATTTTTAAAAACTGGCAAAGCATTACCAAAGAGATATGTGTGTGTGTTTTCAAGCAGTTTTACAATACACATATTCCAAAAGCCTGATGACTATCTCTATGACAGTCACTCCTTTGAGTCAGAAATCAGAAGTCCTGAATTCCAAAGAAGACTATGTTGCCATTTCCTAAGCATTATGACCTTGGGCAACTTACTTGACACACCTCATTTTTTTTTTTTTTTAAAGAAGCCCAAGAATATCTCTTTTCCTACTGGGGTGTTCACTTTGGGAGTTAAAGGAGATGTGCTTTGAAGACCACGAAAAAAGGCCAAGATTAAATACACTTCTGAGTACAAAGAGTGCTTTCTGAAATGTCTGAAGGCAGATCCAGAGCTGAGGGCAAGGATGGATGACTGAGGAGTCTAGGTTGGGGACGAGCTTTGAAGAACTGATGAAGGACGAAAAGCTGCAAGAGCAGAACGGGGACCATCTCTGCCTTTCCTGTCATGCGTTAAAGACATGGTCAGTGGCAGCAGCTAGCCAGACACGGATATTTTTAAAATGAAGTATGACAGGAAAAAGCTGAATGCAAGAAGCAAGAAGGATGGGGGAACAAGAGGTTGGATGGGGTGAAGGAAAGGTGGGAGGTTTTCGGTATTCCTTTTCACAGTGGCCATAAGAGTGTACCACAGACGGAAGGGACAACAAAGGAAAACTGATGCTGATCCTGTGAAGGAAGGAAGGAAGGAAAAAGAAAAAGCTTTCAAGGAAAGTTTAAAGGAGAGGATCTGTTTGATAAACAACAGCTGCTCAGAAAGAATTTTATGTAGAAGGGATGTTGATGAATAAATCAGAATGACTTTGAGACACGTACTGGCAGGAGTTCAAATCCAAGGGGGTGGGAGTCCAGGGCTGCAGATCAGCAGAGAAGTTGGCTATGTTTTGAAGATCCTATCAGAAGAGAAAGGACAAGCTTGTGGGAAAACCTTGGTGGTGATGGAAGGCCAAGGCTAAGTTTTCTGACTATTTGCTTTAGGAAGGAAGGAGCAGATAGAGGAGGCATTGTGATATGATTAAAAAAAAAAAGTATTTTTGATTCCATTCAAAATTAGAGGACAATTTGGTAGGCCTGACAAATTGCGGTGACTGAGAAGTGGAAACCAAAGTGGAGGTTAGGCTACAAAAGCAGGTGGGGGAGGTGGTTGATGGGAGGGCGAATAGGCAAGATTAAGAGTAACAGCGGCAAAAAAAAAGAAAGAAAGAAAGAAAGAAAGAAAGAAAGAAAGAAAGAAAGAAAGAAAGAAAGAAAGAAAGAAAGGAAGAAAGAAAGAAATAAAGGAAAAAAGAAAGAAAGAAAGAAAATAAATAAATAAATAAATAAATAAATAAATAAATAAAGGGTAAACCATGCCCAGTGCTTTTTAGGATGTTCTTCCAAATAAGAGTCAGAGCAGGTGTCGGCCAACTTGGTTCTGAGTCTGTTGAGATCTGGTGTTCATGGAATTTTAGCATTTGCCGGCAGGAAAGCAGGGCACAGGGATATCAACTAGAGCACCCGGGGGGTTTTGGTTCCCAAGCAGGAGTCTTGTTAATAGAAGCACAAAGCAGGAGAGGTCAAGGCCATTGTGGGAGCAGCTCCCGCGGATGGGATGCTGTCCCTTACTTTCTGATGAGGGGCCCTCTTCTGGGTGAAGGCAGGTCCCAGAGTCTGACATGAAGGCACCAGATTCTATTGGAGCTAGCGTGGACAGTACTGATGGAGGCAAGGGGAGTGAGGGAGACTAAAAGAACAATTGTAATAAGAGAGGGAGAGGAATGGATTGATCTTCTCAGGTACAAAAAGAAAACATTAGCCCTGGTGGGGTAGCTCAGTTGCAGGTTCCAGCCTGGCCAGAGCACATACAAGAATCAATTTATGCAATGAATGCATAAATAAATGGAACAACAAATTGATATTTCTCTCTTTTTGAAATTGTGTTCTACAAAGTGCCTCACAGGTGTAATCCATTTTAATGTCACTGCAACCCTGTGGGATAGAGATTATTAGTTCCAGTTAGGTTTCTTGCTATAGATACTGACAATAGCCATGGCTAAACTTGGCGGCACACTTAACATGTAAAAGGTACTTTGAAAATTCTCTCTTAATCCTTCAACAAATATAGGAAGTAGAAATTATTATTACTTCTATTTTGCAAGTGAGAAAACCAAGGCACAGAGAAGTCCTATAACGTGCACAAGGCCACACAATCAGAAAGTGGTGGGAACCATAATGCAAACCCAGGCAATCTGTCTCCAGAGCCTAGAATCATAACCACTATATTAAGCAGCCTCTAATAAGCCAAAGTTAAGAGAAAAATAGAGGGAGGGCACACTTACAAGATTTAGAAATTATTACTTAAAATGGGTCAAGGACAGATAGAAATAGAGAGGGAAAACTTCATCCACGAAGGGGATTTGAATGTTTCATTTTTAGAGATAGGAGAAAATTCATTGATAATTTTAATAATAATGGAAACAATAATAACACAGTTTTCATGTACTTAAGACTTATGGTGTGCCAGACTGTTCTAAGTGCTTTATAAATATTATTTCATTAAATTTTAGGAAAAAATCTTTGTCTCTTACTGAAATCCTAGGACCTAGGTGCTTGATAAATATTTATCAAATAAATCTTAAAAGGTGACTCTAATTTTGCTTCTAGAAAACTCCAGGTCACAGAGCAAAATCTTCCTCTTCTTTTTATTACTGCTCAGTTTTATTTTTGTCTGAAATTATCCTGTTTATTTCTTAGCTTGTTTATTATCTCCTCTCTCTCTGTTAGCATGTAAACTGGAGGACAGCAGAACCTCACTCATCCCATCCAATGCTGCACTGGCAGCATCTAGAACAACGCCTTGGGCAGGAGGTGAGTAATTGATATTCGCTGTATGAATGAGAGAAGAGAGCCCAGTATTTCAGCCTTTCAGAACAGCTCTTCTTCCCCTAAAGCAGTGGTCAGCAAACTCATTAGTCAACAGAGCCAAATATCAACAGTCCAATGACGGAAATTTCTTTTGAGAGCTGAAAACCTACTTCTGCGCATGGGCCATGAAGTTTCAATTGCACTGTACGTGCACAACCTGCACGTTGTATTTTGTGGAAGAGCCAGACTCAAGGGGCCAAAGAGCTGCATGTGACTTGCGAGCCGCAGTTTGCCGACTACTGCCCTACAGGACACTGAAGTGCACAGAGCGAGAGGTCGGCTGCTCATGTGCTGGTACCAAATCCTTCTGTCGGTGTCTGTTCTCAAGGAGCACCTGCACACGGTCTCCATCACCAGCTCAACCATTCACCTACCCAGGTAGGCTTTACTGGAGTGAAAGGAAGAAAGTTCTTTTTTGTTCTGTTTTCAACACATACGCAGGGATCATCACAAAAGTGATCTATGTATAAAAATGATTGTTTCACCTTATACCCACCAAGAAGTCACCCCAAATTTATCAGATGGTAAATGTTATGCATATTTTTCACTATTAAAAAAGGGGGGCTCTTGGTAGTATGACATATACCTCATTTTAAAGGATCAAGAGGAGGACTTTGGAGCCTTTCAGTGCACAGGATGATACTCAATCAACGAGCCACCTAGCCAGGCTGGTTTTGGACTCCTGATGGCCAGAATTGCTAATAACACTTTCTTTGATGGCTTTTGAATATAATGTATATTCTTAAGCACTTTACACAAATCACTACAGAGATTTAGAACTTTGGCGCCTTTATTGTTTGCAAAGTCAGGCTGGTCAGAGCAGGCTTTGACAGATAATGATGCTCTGATCTCTATACCCAATCCCACAGACACTCACCTGTCTACCCGAAGCTGGCAGACAATGCTTAGCGGATCCACAACTCCTTCTTCTTTCAACTGTTGACAGCCAATGGATGTAGCAATAAAACACCCCGTTCTACCTATCCCTGCACTAAAAAGAAAGGACAAAGAATAAAAAGGTGGAAGAAAAAAAGCAAAGATAAAAAATATTTTAAAAAAGGTAGCTTTAAATTTGAAACAGCAGCTGGGATGAATAGCAATAGCAACAACAGCTCTCATATACTGCGTATTACAACCTGGGGTCTGAGCTAAGTGCTTACACACATTCTAATCTCCGTTAGCTATATGCAGTAAGATGAGTTGGGTGGAGGGAGGTGTTAGGTGAGGAGAAGAGTGAAAAATGCATTGTAACTGGTCTACAAAGAATAATAATCATCAGGGTCTGAATTTAGGTAAGGTGTGGGCACTAAAAAGGAGGGAAGAGACTTAGACATGTCACAAATGTGAGTCTGAAAGACTGGATTTGAACAGACAGAAAAGTAAAAAGTCAAAGATGACCAAGATTGGAAGAATGGTAGTCTACTGAGACAAAGGTGGAATTCTGGAATGAGGACTAATTTGAGTTTGCTCTTGGATATACTGATGGTGAAGATTCTCATGAATAACTGAAAATACAATTAGGAGAGAGGAGGTGCTAGAGGCACATATTTCTAAGTCACTTATAGTTGGATAGAAACACTACCGTCCAGAGAGTTTATACGTATTTCTGTCTTACCTAGTATGTCATCAACCTAACAAGCCCCCCCCCCCCTCTCTCTCTCTCTCTCTCTCTCTCTCTCTCTCTCTCTCTCTCTCTCTCTCTCTCTCTCCCTCTCCCTCTCCCTCTCTCTCTCTCTCTTAGCAATTTCAACCACTAATGGTCTTTATGTAAATTTCTTTTAAATTTACACTTAAATTCCCCAAGTCTCTCCTAAACTCTAGATTGGCATTCCATCTCCTAGTTCGGATTCCGGATGTTACTACTTTGCACTCGTTTCATCTCAGTGCATCTAAACAGTCAGTTATATTTTCCCTCAATGGCATTACCAGTCAGCCCCAAGTTTTCCAGCTGTGAAACTTGGAGACATTCTCAACATCTCCCCCCTCACCTCCCACATTCAATCTGTTACCAATACCTGTATTTTCCACCTTTACTGAGCTTTGTGATCCATTCTTTCCTTTCTATAGACTGAGCTCACGTTTTTGACATCGTACTTCATGATGAGCAATGATCTCATTATGGTTTCCAAGTCTCCAGCCTTTTCCTGGACTAATTCACAATACACACAGCTGCTAGGGACCGGATCATCTTACTCTACTCAGAACTGTAGATGGCTCCCAATAGTTATAGCACAACATCTAAGCTCCCTACTATGGTATTCATGACCTTGAATAATACAAATGTGACTAATTTTCAGGCTTAATTTTTTTTTTATTGTAGTCCTTGTACCCTTTGTGCCATTTTTTCATTTACATGAATCATTGAAAAAAAAAAAAAAAGGAAAAAGAAAAAGCCTTTTGTTTTCCAATTTTCCTTTCTGTGTTGATGTTGATGATATTTCTTCAGTGAAAAAAAATGCCCTCTCTACCACCTTTTTAAAACCACAAACATTGGTCATTTTTAAAGATTCTGTTCAACATTATTCCAATGTTTAGAGGTTTTCCTTAAACTTCCTAGTTTGAATTAACAGCTCCCCTCTTGGCACTCAAATAGCATTTACATCCTCCTCTTTAGAACTTGTTTCTGTGAATGTGAGTGCAAAGGAATTCCAAAATAGAATGGGCCCCTTTTAGTTGAAGTGTCTATTGAGAGTTTGTTTCATTAAAGATAGAGGATTTGAACTGTACCATATGAATGGCAGGCATTTTGGTTATCATGAATGAGAGAAAATATTCCAGGCATGGGAAGGGTTTAAGGAAAGAATTGCTGCAGAACACCTATATGATGTGCAACAATGAGTAGGTTAAATTTGGCTTGAAGAGAGAATTGTTTGAGAGAGATAATGGGAGGCAGTTATGCTCACCACTATACCACCAACGCAGCTTTTGAGAGAGATAATGGGAAAGAAGACTGGGAAGGTACCCTGAGACCTATTAAAGGTCTCACTTGGAAAGCTAAGAAGTTTGGACTTTATCTTCTAAAACTTCTTTATATTTTAGAATTTGATGAAAACTAGGAAATTTCACTTTCCAGAAAAACTAACAGAACATTAGGTGCTCAGATTTGTGAAAGTAATTTCAAGGAGTTCCTTGACTCCTTTAGCTCACGCATAGACCCAAGGTTATGAATTTTTGTTCCAGGCAATGGGAAGCCATTGAGAAGTTCTGAGCAGGGAATGCATGTGATGTAAGAGGGTTTTAGGAGCATCATCAAAGAGAAGTGCTTTGGGGAGGCTATACTGGGTATGGGCCTGGGGAAATGGAGTGTGTGTGCAATTAGCCGACTATTTCTAAAATATACGAATGAGATCATAAGGGCCTGAACTTGGGTGTTTGGACAGGAAGTGAAGATTGTGGGAGCTTTGAAGAGAAAGCCAATCAAATGACTGATTAGATACTGAGGCTGGAATTAAGAGAAAGGCCAAAGATAACTGTCACTTTTAGAGGTTGAATGCCTGGAAGAAAGATGGTCTCGTTCTTAGAAATACTAATCAGAAGGGGAGCTCATTTTGTAGGAGCAGTAACTAGTTCATTTTGTATATCTTCATTGTTTTATGATTTTGGGTGGGGGACAGTTCCAGTCTAAAGGATGGCCAATTAGGTTATTTTTTCCTCAGCCCCAAGCTAAGTTTAGGATAAAGCTTAATGCTAAAAACTGGATAATGGTGTTTTTGAGTAAGTAGACATATAGTAAATTTTACTCTTAATTAAACCACAAGAGTTCAAAAAAGAATGAAACTAAAATTATCATCTAAAACAGAGATGGGGAACATCCAGCCCATGGGCTGTATAAGGCCATCAAAATCATTTGGTCCAGCCCTGCCAAGGCATTATTGAGATATCTTTAAAAATAGTTGCTTTTTTGTGGGGGGGGGGGCACACACTAAAAGGAAAACAAGGAGGATGAGGTATCCATTGTTAGAGGAGAGCTTTGAGGGAAGAGGACCATCAAGGGCATCTGTTGCTTTTATCACCTTAACCTCTGCTAGCCCATGTTCTAGTAACAGCACTTTGCTTTCCTTTTCAAAAAAACATATTTTTATTGATTTCAGAGAGGAAGAGGGAGAGAGAGAGAGAGAGAGAGAGAGAGAGAGAGAAACATCAATGAGAGAGAATCATTGATTGGCTGACTCTTGCCCACCCCCTTCTGGAGATTGTGGGCATATGCCCTGATGAGGAATCGAACCAGGGACCCTCTGGTTCATAGGTAGTCATTCACCTTCTGAGCCATACTGGCTGGCTTTGTTTTCCTTTTAATAATTTATTTCCATCTGTTTTTCATGAAATAATTTTTAAAATAGTTGACTGACTAAATGTGAAATAATAAATGTTATCAAGATAAAATTCAAGTATAGTTCAGGTGCCATCTTGAAACAACAACAAAAAAAGCCACTAATAGTTAATTCCTAGTGTATATTATACTGATGAAACGAATAAAAGTAAGTTTCAAGGTAGAGAACTGAATTAGCCAGAAGTGGTATTTCTTCCACTGTATAATTGCTTGCTGAAAATGCCCTAATATTGCATTGTAAACATCATCTTGATCAAGACTCAAATATGAGGAAGTTAACCAATTTCAATAAGTATTTGATTTATTGACAACTAAGAAGGAAAACCCAATTTCTATCTACTCTGCGACTTTACAAAGGATGGACTGTTTGCTTAGGCGGACAAGATAGTTCGTGCCTTACCTGCAGTGGACAACCACAGGCCCTCGGCCTGCAGAAGCAAGTCTGTCTTCTTCCACATCCAGCATGAGTTGTAGAAGGGGCTGGGCACTGTCTGGAGTCTTGTGATCGGGCCATGAGGTGTACCAGTAATGCTTCACATGTTGGGTGTGACTTCCTTGCTGAAAATAGCAACAACCACCAAGTGTCTCATTTACTTGTGCAACTAAAAGTCATCCAAACCACAACACTGCATGCCTTCTCTCATTCCCATCTTGCTCTTAACTTATTTCTAGGTGGTAAATTGTGTGTGTGTGTGTGTGTGTGTGTGTGTGTGTGTGTGTTAATCCTCATCCGAAAAGATATTTTTTTCCCATTGATTTTTAGAGAGAGTGGAAGGGAAGAAGGGAGGGGGAGAAAGAGAGAGAGAGAAACATCAACGTGAGAGAGACACATCGTTAGGTTGCTCCCAAATGCACCCCAACCAGGCCAGGTACCGATCCTTCGATCCTTCCATGTTCAGGCTGATGTTGTAACATCTAAGCAACACCAGCCAGGGCTGTAGTTAATTTTTTAAGAACAATCCTTCACCTTGAGAAAACTTTACTGTAAATATCCTGATATCAAAGTTTGACACTTTTGCCTCTATTAAATGATGAACAATGATACACATATGATGTACATGTGAAACCTATATAATTTTATTAACCCATGTCACTCCAATAAATTTAATTAAAATTTTAAAACAAGAAAATAAAGCAGAAAAAAATAAATGAAAATATATATTTAGTATAGAAAGTGATAAGTAACATAGGCTAAATCTATGTTTGTAATTTACTATAACAAACAAAATGGTAGATGAAAAGGTAGCCAAGAAAGAATTCGGAGGCAAAAAAAAGAAAAAGAAAAGAAAAGAAAAGAAAGAAATAAAGAATTTGGAGATAGTGTGCTTCCTGCTCTTTGAACTTTCCTGACAGGTTACTAAAAATATATTAACCAATATAAAAACACATTGTTACATGCAATCACTGTAATATTTCTACACTCATCCCGAATTCCGCTTTTTAAACAGCAGTGAGAAATTCCAGTAATCAAGAGGCCCAGGGGTCACTGGTTAGAAATGCTACGAGGGAGGGTCCATGTGGGGTCCTGACACGATCTAGGCATTTGGGACATATTTTTAAAAACAGGCTTTGGTAGGGGCCTTCCTACCCCGAGCTTCTCCTTACAAACCACGAGAGCTCCCTGCCCCTGCTCTCTCTGTGATGACTGTGTCCTGGCAGTGAGGGTCTAGGTGGGACTGAGACCTGTGAGATGATTGTTCTCTGGAATCAGAAACAATACCATGGCAACATTCCTCAGCATCTGCTGCCCGCAAGTGAAATAGATAATTTTCCTATGATGTAATCTGGTCTGGGGGAAGTCCCTATAAATTACTGTAACTCTGAGTGTGGAAGATCTCATCAACACTTCAGACTTGTCGTGCCTCCCACAGCCACCCACAGGCACAGATTTTCTCTCTTAGAGTCTCCAGGTCTTACTTAAAGCTGCACAAGCCCAAGTGACACTGAAAAACATCATGGCAAAGCCCCTAGAATAAACCTTTAGCTAAAGGCATTCAAAAGGTTAAATCAAGAGATTTCTTATTTATGCAAATGAGATAATAACATCCTAGTTAGTGAATTTCCTTAATATGTACTTATTTAATTATTCCATACTTAATTGTAGTATGACAACAAAGAAATACTTGAGGGGATGATTATAATTTCTCTTTCATCTTGACAGTATTTAATTGGTTTAAGTTAAATCTGTAGCACTTATTAGGGTAATAATTTCAAAATATAAATGTTATCCTCTAATATCATCTACTTTGTAGGTAGCTATAGCCATGTAATCTTACCTTTAAGACGAGGTTCCGAACAGTGTAGTTTTCACATTCATTGACATTGATAACCAGAACCTCGACTTTTCCATAAATCCCTCTCTTTTCGGGCCAGTATAACACACATTTCTGATGAAGGAGAGAGCAGAACAGAGCGAATATTAATGATGCTCATTGGCCTAGGAGTGCTTCTCATTCAAGCATCTCAGGAGTTGCTTATTTAATTAGTTTTTTTAAAAATCAGGTATCAATTTTTACAATTCTGTGAATGTACTAAACCACTGAATTGTACACATTAAACGTGATTTTTACAGCATGTCAATTACATCTCAAAAAGGTTGTTGTTGTTTTTTTTTTAAAAAATAAAGCATCATGTTTTGCATGTTCTTGGCAAACACTATTACTGTTAATCCCATACCAAAAAATAAAGGTAGAATTTCCCAAAACCCCACAGAGAAATTGAGAACGAACTAAAAACTTAATTAGGAATTGAGAGATTAGTATCCACACATTAGAATTGACCATGCAGTGACTAGAAATGAAAGAAGTGCTCTCTCGTGACTGTGAAGACAAGCCACATTTCCCTGCTCCACCGAGTGGCAGTGTCTCCTGAGCATCTGCAATGGGTTAGATGCCACAGGGTGACGTTCCCCTTGTATGGGGGGCAGCGGCTCGGACAAGTGATGCCTGTACGAGAGCATATTTTTCAGGACCAACGGTCATTCCACTGAGGGGGTCCATTACAATGGGTGTCTAACAAAATTACTTTAAAATATTTTTATAATGGATGCTCTTTGAAGGGTTTAATAACAATCATAGTACAAACAAGGCATTATAATATTTTGGTTCAGGTGCACGCTTTGGGTCAGAGTGCCTGGGCTCACCTTTTGGTGAATAATCTACTTATTATTTGCTGTGAATCCATCAGCAAGATACTCAATCTCTCTGGCCTCGGTTTCTTCACGATTTACTCTGTGGGAAGCACTTAGAACCAAGCCCGGCAAAGAAAAAGCACTCAAAACCTGTTGCTGTTGTTATTATTATTATTATTTATTATTATTACTAGTGTTCTGTTCTTACAATGACTGGGCTTTCTAGCTTCCATAGAAAGTGGTTAGGTCATTAATTATGAATTACATCCGGCATTAAATTTTATAGTATTATGTCTAAGTTATATTATTAAAAGAAAACTATGAAATTAGATTTAAGCACACATATCATTTATCATTTCACCTCGTAACCAACTGCAAAAGACCTATTGCATTATTTTTTTTACCACATATTTTAGTGATTAAGAATATCAAGTGGGACAGTTGATGCTTTATTGCAATTGCCAGGGATGCAATGTTCATCTGAGAAGCATTGTTTAGATAGCACTGATTTCCTCTCAAACACACACGCACATTTATAAGGGAAACGCCTTCACCTGCTGGCCTGCCAGCAGCACCTTTTAGTGTTCAAGACACTTGTGTCCTCACACATATGCCGAGGAATATGATCACACTTGAAAAAATAAAGAACTTAAAATGCAACAAAGCCGTAAAAGCATCACATCATTACAGAACTACAGGAAAAGACATGTGAAGTATCAGAAACACACCTCCTGGATTCCATCATGCTAAGCACTAATCATTCCAAAGACAGGCTCACGAAGAAAGTCACTTTACCTGCTTGACTCACTGGACCTCTCATCCGTTATAATAAAAACACATTTGCATCCTCTGTGCTCTGGTCCCTTTCCAGACCAAGTAAATCATTTCACCTCTGTTTACAGGCCGCCCCACACCCACGACTGTCAGGGAATCAGGCTAGAGGCTCCCTCTGGCTGACATCACATTAACATTAAGGGGGAGGAGGGAGGGAAGAGAAACCCTTTTAAAAATAGAGCAATTTATCTCCCTCCTCATTTATGAGTTATCAAATGCCTCAAATTTCCCCAGCTTGTTAAAGATAATCATACTAACCAATTTGCCCGGTGTCTTTCAATGGAGCATCAATTATTTCAACTGCAAGACCCAAGCTATTGTATATCTCAAAACTCCTGCCTCCTGGATGAATCCAAGAAGAGACAAAGAATCTTGGGGGAAAAGTAGTGGAAAAGAAAGGGGCATTCAGTGGTCCAGCAGTAGGATATATGAGCCGCATTGTCCACCATCAGATCTGAGCGGCGGGCCTCTCTTCGGGGAGGTGGTTCCCAAAACCGGCAGGAAAAGCTTCGAGGCAGGAGCTCTCAGCCTGCACCCTGCCTCTCAACAATACTAGAACAGGCTTGTGCACCTACTTGATAAATGGAAGTACTACTTGCTTCTCTCTCAAGCTTGCCGGGGCCCTCTTGAATATTTTTCTTGACTCTTTACCAAAAAACGAAATTGGCAGCCAGCTCCCCGAAGACAATGCAATATGACTTGTTCACTCAAAGAACTCTTAATTAGCATCCCATCTCCTTTCTGAGATAACAATAGCTTATTTTTACACACAGAATACATCCCCTCCCCCCCTTTTTGGGAGAACGTAGAAAAAGAGACCAGATAAGTGTGGGTGCTTTTGAATATGAGGTGGGGGAGATCTGCAAGTGTAGCTGTATCTAAGAGCACAAGTGCATGTTTAAATTATTCTCATGAACAGCTTTTTGGGGTTCCTCCATTGTGGTGCTAACAATGGTATGATAGAGGCAGAAAATGAAAGGAAGGAAAATACTCTCTTACAGATAATATTGTGAAGCTACAGTAATTGTAGGTAATTCAAAAATAGCATGCTACCCAGCAGAATATATAACCTCAAATCACCACTATGCTTCTACTAATTGGTCTGATCCTTTCAGTAAAATTATCTATTAGTTCCAAGAATTCGTGATTTGGAGAAAAAAAATGAGGTTTTCAGAGGATCATGTGTCCCTTGGTGCAAACAAGCAATTAGCAATCTCTGACTATAAAGATTCTGGACACCAACCCGTTCGTCATAATCAGTGGTTCACAGCCAAAGCAGGATGTAATGCAAACTCATAATTTTATGAGCCTTTCTTTCTTTGACCTTCCCTCTCGCCCCACCACAGTAGCGCTATTTGGGTATAAAGAAGAAGAAAGTCCAGCTAGTTGTTTAGTTGCCAGGGGAAAATCTTTTTAAAAATTTACTTTCTCTTTAAATTCCATGGATTTAAAAATCAAAAGAGATTTTGCTCTATGAGCTAAAGTCCTGTATCATTGCATAGAGAATGTCTCTAATTAAATAAAAAGATGAGCTGTTTCATTTGGCACATTTGCATATGAGAGGGATAGAATGGGTCAGACTGTCTACTGTTATTACCTGTAGTTAGTCATATTCCTGGTTTTCCAAATGAATATTACTAACATAGTATAGCAATTTAATAGTAAAAGTAACTTCACTAAGAGATCATTCAATCCCTTTCAGAATCATTTGAGTTAGGTAGAGCAAGTGGCAAATATTATCATTGCTGCTATTATTATTCTTATTATTATTATTATTTGTTTTACAACAGAGAAAACTGAAACCCAGATGTGTTGCTAGAGGTCTTTTGGAAAATTCCCCTGGGGGCTAGGAGCCTCTGAGAAAATATTACTTTATTAGAGGCCCAGTGAATGAAATCATGCAAGAGTAGCTTGCTGGCACTTGCTGCTTGTCGCCCTGCCCACCCCTCATAGCTTACAGACCTGCTGACACTCATTGCTCCACCTCCCCCCCCCCCTTCCCACTGCCACTCATGGGTGGGGAGGAAGGTGTAGGGACTGAGAGGTGGTCAATGCAACTCATGGAAAGTGGTCAAGTTGTTGTTCTGGTCATTATACTTATGGTCCCTGGCCTTTTATTATATAGGATAAATTCAACTTGTCCTCTATCTCTTATCTGCAAATTTGTCTAAAGCTCTAGATATATATTTCTAGACACTTAGTAGACTTAATCATCCAAAGGTCCCCAGGAATCTTCAAACTTAGACGAAAAATGGAACTTACTTTCTTCTCTCACAAATCTTTCCTTGCTGCCCATCTAGATTCATGACATCCTCTTCCAGTCAGTCTCCTAGCCAGACATCCTGAATCAAACTCTCTCTGATTCCCTCCCATTCCATCAGAAACAAAATGCTGTGTCTTCTATCTCTGGAACAACTTTTAAATCTATGCCCTTTTATCAGTACACTCTTCCATTGCCTTAATTCTGCACCTCATTACCTGTTACCCGGCTGTTACTACAACTTCTAACCTATTTCCCTGCTTCCTCTCGCTTTTCTCAAATCCCAATCCTATATCTTGCCACCAATTATATTTCTAATATACAAATTACATCATGTCACTCCATTTCAAAACATCTTTAGTGGCTCCCTGCTGCCTATATAAGGAAGCCAAAAGTTTTGTTTTGTTTTAGTATAGTTCTATATTTTTTGGCACTTCTTAACATTCCAGTCTCAACTCCCTTCATGTCCTACTATTCTAAGCTCAAGGCACACCCAACTGCCAGACCCAGGCGGGCTGTGTGGTTCTCTGCCTTTGCATGCCAATGCGCGGCCTGCATTGTTTCCTGTGGGCACCTACTCACTCATCAGGACTTTATTAAAGAGCTGTCAGGCTTTGTATGAACTGTTTGGACAAAGAACTGTAATAAAAATTCATCTTTTCTATAATTTTATCAGAGAGACAAAGGAAGGGAGTAAAAGAAGGGAAAACAGAATATTATTTTTAAATGAATTTTTGAGATTAAATTTTGCAGAGTATTGACTAAATCAATCAATGGGGTAAATGAAATTTATAAGTCAAGTCATAGCTCACATGAAAGACACATGTAAATATCAATACTATAGAATACAGCTGTGTATACTTGAGAGAAGTATTATGCTAGGCCAAATCACCAAGTAATTCCCTCACTTTATGAGAGATAAATGTGGTACTTCACTGCTCTCTGAGGCCAACCATGGGTTGCTTGCTCTCTAATGTCTTGCATCAGTGCTTGGCCAGTTATGCTGGGGCAATAATTAAGTGCATGAGCTTTGGAATCAAATAGACCTGGATTAAAATTTGGCCTCCAGTACTCACTAACTTTGAGGCTTTAGGCAAATGGCTTACCCTCTCTGAGCATCTCGTTTCTCACCCATAATAGAGAGATAGCAAAACCAACTTTGT